GCACCTGGCCACATCTGGTTACGCTCATAGCTCCACCTGGTGGATGAACGAAACATTGCGTTTTTTCGCTCCTGCCAGGTTTTTTCTCCCTTCTCGCTTCGCGCCACAGCCCCCACGTGCCTCAGGCCCCCACGGCTACATGGGGGAGCGAGGGCCCGATCACAGCTGCTTGCAGCTTTAATTAGGGCCCGAGCGACGACGAAGTCGTCCACGGAGGACCCTATTGAAATCGCACTGTTTATTATTAGGGCCCGAGCAACGACAAAGTCATCCGCGGAGGACCCTATTGAAATCGCACTGTTTATTATTATTATTATTATTATTATTATTATTATTATTCCGACACTTCGTGTCCCAATTTCGCCCCTTTCTCAAATTTGAAAATGCTTCTAACTTTCCACATTCATCCGGCCACATCCGAAATTCGATATTTTTTGATGGTTGTACATGGTCAACGCGAAATGCCGAAATAGCACCCCTATAAATTTTCAAAATACCCTCCCCATTGGGGTTAGTTTGTCGTAGGCAAACAAAATTTGGTGCACACATGTATCACACCCAGACGCACAAAAAAGTCAGGAAGTCGGCCATTTTGTTTTGAATTTTTTCATTACGGCGATTTCCACAACTTACATTTGAACGAACTTGTCCTAGGGTTTTTGTCCGATTGATTTCAAATTGGCTACAGATCATCCAGAGACCATGCTGATCAAAAGTTGTGTTCTGCATGTCTGTAGGTCAAACAGCGTGGCTGCTAGGGCGTGACAAATTTTGGTGACATTTCAGTTTCTCGCCATCGAATTTCAAAAGGCTTTCACGCCCACATACTTGATCGTAGCAGCTTCAAACTTGCTGGACATGATGATGGCTCCGCCCCGAATGCCCTGATATGTTAATATCCCACCTTACTCATAGCACCCCCTGGTGGAAATAGGAAGTGACCAGTTTTTACTTTAACATGTACTGATGCCACAAACTTGACCCCATCAACTTCATTCCATTTCTAATGCATGCAGAACAAGTTGGTGAAGCTACTTTATGAAAGCTGTGAAGCTACATCTAATGGCGTCCATGTGGCGGCGTGGCAAAGATCAATCCCTCTCCACTAAATACGTTTGGCATTTTGATGGGGGGGGGGGGGGGGGGGGGGCCTCTATCCCCCCCCCTTGAAATTTTCAAAAACCCCTCCCCATTGGGGTTTTTTGGAGTTGGAACATGAAAATTGGTACACGTGTATGTTGTCCAGTCGCACATAAAAGTCTCTGGCACCAGTGGTCTACTCCAAACAGGAAGTCGGCCATTTTGATTTTGACTTGTCATTTTGCCGTGATTTCCACATGTTGTATTTTAACGAACTAGTCCTAGGGATTTCATCCAATCGACTTCAAATTTTTTACAGATCATCCAGAGACCATGCTGATCAAAAGTTGTGCTCTGCATGTCTGTAGGTCAAAGGGCGTGGCTGCTATGGTGCTGCTATTTTTGATCCATTGCCATGCATATTCAAGCAGCTCTCTCTCCCATATAATTCATCCAAACTGCTCCAAAATTTCTGTACATGATAAGAGCCCCACCCTCAATGCCTCCATATGCTCGTAGACAATCTTGCTCATGGCGCAATCTTGCTAGGTGGCGCTATAATCAAGGGAAGTGCGTTTTGGGTCATAACTCCCATATACGTTGTGGCACATTCAAAAACCTTAGATCCACGCGTTCAGTGAATTGTGCTGAGTCTCGTGATATTGGCCACGCCCATTTCCGCCTAGCGGTTTTTTCCGCAAATTCACAAAATGTCGCAAACCTACTTTTTCAAACTCCTCCTAGGCAATTTCACTGATTTGCACGAAACTTTGCACACAGCATCTGTGGACTCTTCTGACAAAAAGTTATTAAAAGAATTTTGATATTCCAAGGAATACTTTAGTTATTAAATAGCAGCTTCCTGCAGATTTGGTACAAAACAGGAAATGTTGCATATCTCCAAATTGGTGTGTCCGAATGACATGAAACTCAGTTTACTACTTCCCCATGAGCCCCTGAGGCTCTGTGCAAAATTTCGGGTGATGACCACAAGGTGGCGCTCTTTAAATTGAAGTATTGTATATCTCAACATCGGTTGGGCGGATTAACACGAAACTTGGCATAATTATTGTCAATGCCCTCCTGAGGATATCTGACGAAGGACTTACCGATTTGCCACTAGATGGCACTCTGGTGGCCGTCTAATTTAATATTTGGCACTGTGCCAACACCATAACACTCATGGAAATAAAATTGATAGGGGTGGTATAGACTGGCCCCTGTAACTCATACACCAAAAATGACCAGCAGGTGGCGCTATTTTCAATGCAGAAGCATTTTTGGCTAATAACTCCCACATAATATGTCACACATTGTTAAACCTTCTATTTACGTGTTCTCTGAATTGAGCTGAATTGTGTGATGTGAGCCACGCCCACTTTCGCAGTAACTTTCCATTCACTAAATCGCGACAAATGAAAAACGTATTTTTTTTAACTCCTCCTAGACAATTTGACCGATTTGCACCAAACTTTGCATGTAGCATCTGTGGACCCTCCTGACAAAAAGTTATTAAAAGAATTTTGATTGTCCAAAAAACGCCCAAAATATAAAACAACAAATTCCTGCACATTGTTTTCAAAACAGACAGTCTTTCATATCTTGACCAAATACAGTCAGATTACCACAACACTTTTGCTAATTGTGTTCCATGGCCCGATGAGGGATTGTGCAAAATTCAGTGCAAATCGGCCAATAGGTGGCGCTCTGGTGGCAGTCTAATTAGTGTGAACGAAAGTAAATCGGAAAATCTTCAAATCCTCTTCAAAACTCATCGACTTTCAACCTCTTCTTGTCCCTCATACTTTGAGCTAGAGACACCATGTCAACTTTTAAAGAGTCAGAAGACCTTGAACTATTGGGCATGTATTAAGCTTCTACTTTTTGGAAAAATACATACGTGGGTTGGGTGCCTACCTGTATACTGGAAATGTAAGTAAGAGATAATGTTTATTTTTTTAGTTATTACAGCTGACAAGACTTCTAGGTGCACAGCCCCTGACGGCAGCATGCCCCGACACGCGCGGACTGCGAGGGCCCGTTCATCGCTGCTTGCAGCTTTAATTATTATTATTATTTTTGCGACATTTCGTGCCCCAATTTCGCCCCTTTCCCAAATTTGAAAATGCTTCTAACTTTCCACATTCGTCCGGCCACATCCGAAATTCGATATTTTTGGACAGTTGCACATGGTCGGTACGAAATGCCGAAATAGTGCCCCCCTACAAATTTTCAAAATACCCTTCCCATTGGGGTTAGTATGTCGTAGGCAAACGAAATTTGGTACACACATGTATCATACCGAGACGCACAAAATAGTCTCTTGACGTCATGGTAAAATCCCAACAGGAAGTCAGCCATTTTGTTTTAAATTTTTTCGTTACGGCGATTTCCACAACTTACATTTGAACGAACTTGTCCTAGGGATTTCGTCCTATCGACTTCAAAGTTGGTACAGATCATCCTGAGAGCATGCTGATCAAAAGTTATTAAAAGCTCTTCTCTATGTCAAGGGGCGTGGCTGTTAGGGCGTGACAAATTTTGGCGACTTTTCGTTTTCTTACCATCGAATTTCGAACAGCTCTCCCACCCACATACTTGATCGTAGCAGCTTCAAACTTGCTGGACATGATGATGGCTCCACCCCGAACGCCCCGATATGTTAATTAGTCCATGGGCCAGACCACTTTTTGGTCCATCTCAGGGTGGCAAAACTTAATCATAATTTTTGAAAAGATACATGTCTGTAGATGATATTTTGGTATGATAGCAATCCCAAAGTGGCAGCTTAGTCACTGTCATCAGCTCATTAAGTTAACAACCCCTTAACATAAATTCCGTTTTTTGACACTGGTGTATATCTAGTTTAGGCTTATGGTAAGGGTATTGTAAGGGTATGTTTTAGTATAGTGTTTGGTATCATTTTAAAGGGGACCTTCTTGGCTTTCATTTAAGCCCAATTTGGGAACTTTCTGACAAACACAGAGGTCACTAGAGCTCTTTAAACCACCAATAATACACATTTTCCCACCATTTTCGCCTAAACTATATACATTCTTTTAGCCCTGTGGCATCCAGGGACATCAGAGCAACAAGAGTCAACAACTGAAATACTCACAGGACCCTAAGGACTCAGGAAATATATAATATACCCATACTATCTCTTTGTGGGAGGTGAGCTTGAGCTGTACTTAGAACACAGGCTTTGTCATAGGTTAAGGCCACAATTGGCTCCCTAAGACATTATACGTATGTATACAGGCAACTGCAAATTGTAGTAGAAGCATGCCGTTTGGCATGATTGCAGCTTGGACCTTTAGAAAACATTTTTTCCTAAGAACCCCCTTGTGGGACCCCCAGGGGCCCTTATTTGCAGACATTCAAAATGCCCGCCACCAAAAATTGAGATTTTTGCTTACATTTGATGATGTAAACGTGCTAAAATGGTGATCTTGGTGTCTTTTGGGTTTTTTTCCAGGGTTCTAAATTCAATGGAACCATTACTGATTAATTTAAATAACAAGGTCATGTGAAATTGAATATGGCCGCCACCGAAAATTGGGAATTTGAGAGAATTGCTTATATTTCATGATATAGGTTTAACGTGCTAGAATGTTGATCTTGGTGTCTTTTGTTTTTTTCCAGGGTGCTGTAGAAGTCACAGGCTTAGTCCACTATTGGTTCTAACCAGAGGGATAAATTCTAGCTAGGTATTTTGAAAAAGTACCTACATGATATTTCAACATGATGAAATATCTAGCTTAGTCATACCTATCAACTTTCAATGACAGCATCCATAATTCAAAAGAATTAAATGGTCGTGCCATTTTATTCTGACAATGTCATGAATTCTACAATATACCAATTTAACTTATCAAATTCATAACAAACATCCTATAAACTATCATACTAATCCATTCTCAAGTATTCATGCTCTCTTTATTCCTCTTCTTCATCATCATTATCATCATAGTCGTCTAGTGTCACATTAACTTCTACATCCTCCTCCTCCTCTCTCTGACTGGTGCAGGTTTGTAGCTTGCACATTTCTGTGCACTTCAGTCTGTTTGCAAGGCAGGAGCAGTCAGGAAGCTTGCAGATCCGTACACATTTGCAGGCCATAAGTTCCAGGACAACCAGTGGTGCTGGAGGTCCTCGCATCCAGTCTAACATCAGCATACCTGTAAGAATAAGTGGAAGGTATTCCTCATCACTTTCTGTGATGAACCTAAATGTTAAGTACATACCAATAGGCCTACATATAACTATTTTATTATTAGACTAAGATGGTGAACATGTATTTAGTGAAAATATTTAAGTATACCTTGGTCATCAGTTGTCCACCCATGTCTTTTTGGCTCTGGTATGTCTGGCTGTCCTTCCAGGCAGCACCTCCACACTGCTGCCTGGTAGTTGGCACGCTGTATATGCAGCTGTAAACAGTCCCTGCAACTGGAACTGAGCAAGGTTGCTGATGTTTATGTATCTTGTCCGATTCTGAGTGCCACATTTCAGATACAGGGGGCAGTTTATCTTCTCACAGTATCCGAGACAAAGGATCATGACATCTGTATCCTCGCTCACAATGACTGTGGTTTGAAAGCCATTCTGGCTGGCATGATTTGCATGTAAGAGCATACGGGTATCTGCCTCCTCATGGGAGGATTTCAGCTCTACAACAACATTCCAGTCTGTTTTGCTCAGACAATAGCATCTCCACAGGCTGCAAACAGCTGCTTGTCCTTAAGCTTTGGAAGGTTCTCTGGTTGCTCCCACTGGTCCACGATGAACGTTATCAGGGCTGTTTTGCTGTCTGCATTACTTAACAGTTTTCTCCACTGCACAACCTTGTGTCCTGGGGCAATGCTTGTCCATTGAGTGCTACTTGCTGAACCTCGATTGCATCTCTCAGCATTCTTGATTGATTTTTTTCTGTATACATCAAACACCACATCTATCTGCTCACTGTGTCCTCCTTCGTGCAGCACTAGGTTCAGCACAGATCCAGCAATCTCTCCAAAGGTCTTGCCATCACCTTTCAGTTTTTGAACAAGGCTCATTCCATCAATGATGCACGCAGACTGTTTTCCAATATCTTCAACTGCTGACCCTGATTTCTCCAACTCTCTTGCAAGAGCAGCCTTGTTAGTTTTCCGCAGTGAGCCATCTGGATTTGAAAGTGCCCAAGGCAGTGGGCCAAGTGGATGGGCCAGGACAGCTTTAATGTGAAGATCTCTACTTTGTGAAACAATGATCATATGGCCAAAGAGATTTCTATCTGCTTTCAAGACCACCTCCTTGTTTTGTCCCTTATTTACTCTACTTTGCGTGGTGCTTGAGAATGTCTTCAGGTTCTGTTTTTTCATTTTGTCATGGAACTTTGCTGTTGGTGAGCCTTTTTCCAAACGTTCACTTCTGAACTTTTTATATGCTTTCTCTCCGGTCTGTTGAGCTTGCAACAGATCACTGGCTATGTTTGGTGACACCGTGATTCCTGTGGAAAGACTGATGATATCAGACTCCTCTGGACCTAGAGGGTTTACCCAGCCTTTCTGCATAAGTTCTACAAAGGCATTGACATCTGCCCTGTCCTTCTCTATCCTAGACTTCTGTAGATCGTGATGTCTGACACTTTCTGTGGGCTCATTGCCTGTCATGTTCCTGAGTTGCCTTAGATACCGACTTCTGTTTTCTGAAGTGAGATAGTATTTGGTCACAGCTGCAGTTTTCAAGCTGAAACCTTTGGTTTCTCCAGCTGTCTGAGTATCCTTGTTTATGGTCTCTTCAATCGTCTGGTCTACTGGAATCTTTCCAAAGGGATTGTTCCTTCCCAGCTGGACAGAAAAACCACCCTCTACAAAGTGGGCAGAAACATCAGGATAATCAATGTCAAGGCAAGACATTTGGGCATAGTAGTATGGCAGGTATCTGGCATAGTTCAGTTTATCGTAGGCAAAGCACCATGGAATGATGGCTCTGATTGCTGCAAGATGCATCATCTGGTTTCCCTCTCTTGATGCTTGAATAAGACTGAGCAAAATCTCAACCATGTCCAGGTAAGACATCCAAAAGGCTGAGAGGGGACCATTGTCTTCTCTAAGGTAGTTGAGGAACTCACTGAAACGTGTCAGAGTGCGCTGGCATGAGTCTTGCTCAAGGGTTTCCTCAAATCTGGGCTGTGATACTTCTTCACACAGGTTGCCGACTGCTTGCAGAGTTTCTTTCAAGTGAATGAGATCTTCAGGATGATTCTCTTCTAACCAGGGATGAAATCCTTTCCAGGCAAGTGTCAAGAAAGCCTCATAGAGCAGTTTGTGGAGCCTTATTTCTCGATTATACCTGTGACCATCAATAACCCCTGCGACTGAACCATGAGCTATCACTCCTGCTTCTACACAAAGGTCTCTTAGACCTGCATCTGCAAAATGTTTTCCAATTGTTGCCATGAAAATACAGCTGGTATGAAAGACCCCCATTCTAAGGATGATGTTCTTGAATTTCTCTGGGTGTTTCCAGGTGATTTCGGCAGCTTTGGCATACAATGCCTGGTCAAAAACAACAACAATGTTGTTGAGTTGCAGAGACTTCATGATGCTCATCGATTGGTGGAGAACCTCATTTGCTGTTGATAGCTGTGTGGCAGGAGCGTTGATTGTTGGCAAATATCCGATACTATTTTCTTGTACTCTTGTGTCGCTGTGAGTGAGGATGTTAAACCCAGTCCAGCTACAAATATCGTTGTTGGAATGGCGAGCTATCAGCCACATATGGTTTCTGTCTGCTGCATCCTGTAGAACAGTGGTGTGATCAGCATCAACTGTCTGTACAACTGGAGGATTGGCACGCTTTCCTGCATTGTAAATGGGAAGCACCATCTCTACTGCTCCAATGCTTCTCTTCTTAGTTTTTGGGATGCAAGGTAAATGTCTGGTTTCAGCAGGATGATCATCAATATACTTTGCTTGCACAGCAATTCCATTCACTCTGTGTGATGTCCCTTCTCCGCTGAGAGTTTCCTCCAGTCTGTCTATATTGTCCCATGCCAATGTTGTGAACAGACCAGGCTTGATATTTTGTGGCAGTGGGACGACATCTCCACTTGCTGCTTGTTTCTGAAGACAAAGGGCTTTGTCAATTTCCTCTACCTGAGAATATGAAACGCCATGGCCAAGCCTGTTCAGTATATGTATTAGTTCCACATTTCCAGTGAGTGACTTGACAGCAAAGGGCAACACAATGTGTTTGGTAGGTTTGACTTTGCCACAGGTAACAGCATAGACCAGGTCTTGGCTAAATGAAGCTGTGAGCCTTTGCACTCTCTTAGATGGGCTATTTCCTACTCTGGATGTACCCGCTAGGAGTGTCTGAAGAAACACTACTAGAGATGCAGGAGCACAGTTCATCTTCTCAAGATCTGACACATGTGGTGGCCATACTTGAGGACTTACTTGGTTCCGAATATCATGTCTGATCTTCAATGCCACTTCAGATATGTCGCTGCTCGATTTGGAAACCTTCAGTTCGTCTTTAAGTTCCTGGCAAACCTTCACAAGTTCATCCATTGTCAAACTGTTAGGGTATACCAACAGGTTTTTGGGCCCATTTGCTATGATATGTAAAGATTCCCCGAATTCTGCTTCAACCTTACGTCGTAGGTATCTCTTTGTATTAGGTATAATTTGTGAAATACCACCTTCAGTCATTTCTGTCACCAGTATAGAGGTCAGGTCTCTGAATGGTATCACTCTAGGATGTTCTATCAGGTCTTCCCTAATGTATGTGAAAACCTTTTGGAGTGCCATTCTTTCCGCGGATTCATAAGGTGATTCTGCCTTATCCATGTCAGCGTCAACAGTGTCTTTGTCTTTATATAGCTTCTTTGTGTACAGCCTGTAGCAGGATCTGTGGTAATGACCTTCAGCTGCTACTAGTTCATAACTGACTATAGCTAGCATCCTAGTATCGCCTTTGCTTTCAGCCGCTCTCCTGAGTGTCATCAGCTCTCAACTCACAGCATTTTGTCAGAGTCTCTTTTGTATTTTGACCCTTCAAATACTTGCTGCATTTGTCACAAATAATACATTTGGCTTCATACACTCTTGATGTGACTGGACCTTGTCGAGTGGATTTTCTGAAGTCTTCTGTGAGAGATCTTTCTGCAGAACTTTTACTCTGAGTCTGGATTATGTTAAGGTCTCTCTTCATAGTAAAGATGCTACGGCACTTCCTGTGATACAATACAGATGGTATGCTACATTCAGGTAGGTTTTTAGCAAGGTCAAGGATTGGTCTGTGACCTCTTATTTCAGCTGCTGTCAGTAGTGTGCTCCATGAATCTGTATTTTTAGGTGCCACAAGGTTTGAGTCATCATCTGAACAATGTGTTAAACAGTCCATCCTGGGACGCTTTGGGTGTAGTCCACTTGTACTTTGTTCTGCCATGTTTTTTTCTATCCTGTGATGTATATCTTCTGAAAATAAAATACAAAAGTCTAATAAGCTTAACACTGTTCTGCTACCCATACATCTGTAGTAAAATTTGTTTTAGGTGCCTAGACAATACCCTCCTTCCCGGCTAGCTAGCTAGCATAACATGGTTGGTAACAACATATAATATCTAGTTTCATACCATGATCTTCACTTTACCTTATATGTTCAGCTTCTGACAGACAGTAAGTCGTTCAAGATGGCTGGCTGACATCTCTGCACTTCTCTGACATTTAAGGACCATTGTGCAAGATTTTGATTGATCTGTTGGCAGAAATGGAATATCAAAATCTGAAGTATGTTGTCATTAGTCTCTAATCACCTGAAAATAAGAATCATTATGTTTTTCTTACCTTAGAATTAGCCCTTCAGTTGGCTGTATTCCACTTGTAGGCCAACTTTGTTCTGCCATATATGTCTACACTATGGTGTATCTTCTGAAAACAGATATTAATCTACTTAATTAGTTAATCTACTTAACTAATATAAGTCCTTGCTGTTGTGTAGCCTAAGCTACACCATCTATCAGTACATTTACGGAAAAAGGTCCAGCGTTCTTTTTAGACAGTAGGCTAAGTAAGTTAATGAGTAGGCCTACAGCATACCAGCACTTACTCTGTTCCAGTTCAAACACTGGTTGACACTGTGGTAATTTTGTAGTATTTGAAACGTCAGTACCTACCTTTCATTGTGATATGCCACTCAGTGAAGAAAAAATCCCTTCACGCGCTGACTTGATATCGATCACCTCAGAAACTGGAGCGCATGGCATATAGACTCCTAATAAAGAGTCTTATTGTAAATAAATAGGCCTAACGTGTGTGCAATAGTGGTTTGAAAGCACATTTAGGCAGAAATATTTAGAAAGTTTAACGTTTTTTAACTTAAAGGGGCAAAAAGCGAAATCGTTTCACCGCTAGGTTTGCTGTTGTGCACTGCCTGTAGACCAAAAGAAAGTGTGTCATGAGCCACACCTCCCTCTACCTCTGCTCTCCACACCCCTCCCCCCCCCCCCCCCCCCCCCCCCCCCCCCCCCCCCGCCCCCCCCCCGCCCCCCCCCCCCCCCCCCCCCCCCCCCCCCCACTCGCCCCCCACTCGCCTCATTACCTATCTGCGTAGCCGAGCACTGCAGCACCTCCACGGACTATTACATCCAGATGTTCCTGGTGTTTCCTCCGCAGGCTCCACTTCACTCAGCTGCCCGATAAACCTGCTGCTTCTTCCCACTTTAACCTGATTAACAAACCAGGGCTCGGTGCTCCGGTTGGATCCAAACGGAGAGCCGGGGCTAGCTGGGAAGCTAGCAGAGGCTTACTGGCTGTGCTTCTCTCCGGTCATGCTGCGGCTAACGCTCCACTAGCCGCTCCCAGCTAGCTCCTGTTTGTTATTCAGGTTAAAATGGGAAGAAGCAGTGGGTCTGTTGGGCAGCTGAGTGAAGTGGAGCCTGTGGAGGAAGCACCAGTTAACCCCGGTTTCACTACAGGCAGATTCACTCGCTACAGGGGCGAGGAACTAAAACCTAAACAGCCCACTTAGTTTAGCAGTTAGCGATGTCTTTCACTCACTCTCGGTCTCTGCTGTGTTTAGCTATTCCCCTGCCTACTTCAATGATGATGGTACCTGTAATAAATGTAATATATTTGCTGAGATGGAGGCGAGGCTCAGTGACTACAAGAGCTGGTAGAAGCGCTCCATAGCTGTAAGTTAACGTTACTCCAGTAGCCAGTGGCAGCCGACTAGTGCTAACTGCTAACGCTCCCGGGAGCTAACGCTAACGTTCCTACTCTTCTACGTGAGCCCGCCAGGCCCGTGAGCCGGGCTCACGGAGAAGAGAAGGAACATTAGCGTTAGCTCCCGGGAGCGTTAGCAGTTAGCACTAGTCGGCTGCCATGCTAATGTCCCTACTCTTCTGCGTGCCTCACGGAAAAGAGTTAGTGTTAGCTCCTGGAGTAAGCACTAGATGGCTGCCACCGGCTACTAGAGTAACCTACAGCTATGGAGTGCTTCTACCAGCTCTTCTAGTCACTGAGCCTCGCCTCCATCCCAGCAAGTATATTACACTTATTACAGGTACCATCCATACGTACCATCATGCCATCTGCCATTGCTCACTGGCTGTAGCCTTTTATAGGGAGGGAGGGCCAAGGGCTCCGAGAGGAGGGAGGAGGCGGCGATTCACATGAACGTACATGAACGCGCAGCCGGACCGGCTTGTAAACAAGGGGCTGGAGATCAACACAGAGAGAGGGTGTGTGACATCATTCTATACTCCAGATGAAATTAAACCTCTAGTTCTTCACATAGCGATCTTTTAATTCCTTCAGTCTAGAAATGATGAATTTCGCTTATTGCCCCTTTAAGACTTTAATATAAGCAATAAACTAACTTGTAGGCTCTTTTTTCATGATTTTCATCATGTTTCTAGCTACAATAGCCCAGGGTGGACAGACTCATAGAAGCTGATTATGTATAGGACTGTATATGTTAAAGTTTATGCAAATTTATGTATTTATATTTATGTAAATTTCTACTATTGCTTATAAAGGTTACAAAATACAGATTTTCAATTTAAGGCTCACAATCACCTCCCACATAAACATAGTATAGGTATATTATACATTTCCTGAGTCCTTAGAGTCCTGTGAGTATTGCAGTTGTTGACTCTTGTGACCCTGATGTTTCTGGATGCCACAGGACTAAAAGAAAGTATATAGTTTAGGCGGAAATTGTGGGAAAATGTGTATGGTTGGTGGTTTAAAGAGCTCTGGTGACCTCTATGTTTGTCAGAAAGACCCAATACAGGGCTTACATAAAAGCCAAGAAGGTCCCCTTTAAAATGATACCAAACACTATATTATAAAACATTAACAAATGTCCTTACCATAAGCCTAAACCAGATATACACCAGGGTTGTTAACTTCATGAGCTGATAACAGTGACTAAGCTGCCACTTTGGGATTGCTATAATACCAAAATATCATCTACAGACATGTATCATTTCAAAAATTATGATTAAGTTTTGCCACCCTGAGATGGACCAAATAGTGAAATTTTGGCCTCTGGCCCATGGACTAAATATCCCACCTTACTCATAGCGCCCCCCGGTGGTAACAGAAGTGACCAGTTTTTACTTTAAAATGTACTAATGCCACAAACTTGACGGCATCAACTTCATTCCACTTCTAATGCATGCAGAACAAGTTGGTGAAGCTACTTTATGAACGCTGTGAAGCTACATCTAATGGCGTCCATGTGGCGGCATGGCGACTATCGATCCCTCGCCACTAAATACATTTGGCAATTTGATGGTTTCATGAAAATTGATACACAAGTCAAGAATAGCGAGCTATTACATCTGATAGGGGCGTCACCCATGGGGGCGACAAAATGCCTCTATAGCGCCCCCTTGAAATTTTCAAAAAACCCTCCCTATAGGGGTTTTTTTGGAGTAGGAACATGAAAATTGGTACACATGTGTATGTTGTCCAGACGCACATAAAAGTCTCTGGCACCAATGGTCTACTCCAAACAGGAAGTCGGCCATTTTGATTTTGACTTGTCATTTTGTCGTGATTTCCACATGTTGTATTTTAATGAACTAGTCCTAGGGATTTCATCCAATCGATTTCATATTTTTTACAGATCATCCAGAGACCATGCTGATCAAAAGTTGTGCTCTGCATGTCTGTAGGTCAAAGGGCGTGGCTGCTATGGTGCTGCCATTTTTGATCCATCGCCATGCATATTCAAGTAGCTCTCTCTCCCACATAATTCATCCAAACTGCTTCAAAATTTCTGTACATGATAAGAGCCCCGCCCTCAACGCCTCCATATGCTCGAAGGCAATCTTGCTCATGGCGCCCCCTTGTAGAAACAGGAAATGCCATCTTTTACACTGACAAACACCAACCTCATGCTCCTGACCTGATCAACTCCATTTTGTGGCCACATGACAATCAAGTTGATGAATCTCCACAGTGACACACGTGTCCTGTCATGTTGCAGGCTGCCACTGAGGCAGTGGCGACTTTTCATCCTTCGCCACGGAACATCAACTTGGTATAAATCCTTCATGCATTGTCCAACTTGCTCGATATTTCACATGTGTGATGAGGGTCCACCCCTAAATGCACCTGGCCACATCTGGTTACGCTCGCAGTGCCACCTGGTGGATGAACGAAACATTGCATTTTTTTGCTCCTGCCAGGTTTTTCCTCGCTTTGCGCCACAGCCCCAGTGTACCTCAGGCCCCCGCAGTTGCATGGGGGAGCAAGGGCCCGATCACAGCTGCTTGCAGCTTTAATTATTATTATTATTCCGACATTTCGTGTCCCAATTTCGCCCCTTTCCCAAATTTGAAAATGCTTCTAAATTTCCACATTCGTCCGGCCACATCCGAAATTCGATATTTTTGGGTGGTTGCACATGGTCGGCGTGAAATGCCGAAATAGCGCCCCCTGTAAATTTTCAAAATACCCTCCCCATTGGGGTTAGTTTGTCGTAGGCAAACGAAATTTGGTACACACATGTATCATACCCAGACGCACAAAAAAATCTCTTTACGTCATGGTAAAATCCCAACAGGAAGTCAGCCATTTTATTTTGAATTTTTTCCATTACGGCGATTTCCACAACTTACATTTGAACGAACTTGTCCTAGGGATTTCGTCCGATCGACTTCAAATTGGCTATAGATCATCCAGAGACCATGCTGATCAAAAGTTTTGCTCTGCATGTCTGTAGGTCAAAGAGCGTGGCTGCTAGGGCGTTACAAATTTTGGCAATGTTTCATTTTCTCGCCATCGAATTTCGAACGGTTCTCACGCCCACATACTTGATCATAGCAGCTTCAAACTTGCTGGACATGATGATGGCTAGGCCCCGAAATGTGGTGGCTTTTCATCCTTCGCCACGGAACAACAACTTGATATAAGTCCTTCATGCATTGTCCGATTTGCTCGAAATTTCACGTGTGATGAGGGTCCACCTCTGAACGCACCTGCCCACATCTGGTTATGCTCGTAGCGCCACCTGGTGGATGAACGAAACATTGCGTTTTTTTGCTCCCGCCAGGTTTTTTTCTCCCTTCTCGCTTCGCGCCACAGCCCCCGCGTGCCTCAGGCCCCCGCGGTTACATGGGGGATCGGCTTCGAATTGGCTACAGATCATCCAGAGACCATGCTGATCAAAAGTTGTGCTCTGCATGTCTATAGGTCAAAGGGCGTGGCTGCTAGGGCATGACAAATTTTGGTGATGTTTCAATTTTTCGCCATCAAATTTCGAACGGCTCTCACGCCCACATACTTGATGATAGCAGCTTCAAACTTGCTGGACATGATAATGGCTCCGCCCTGAATTCCCCAATATGTTAATATCCCACCTTACTCATAGCACCCCCCAGTGGAAACAGGAAGTGACCAGT